AAGGTTTAACTACAGCCAGCTTGAAGGCCTGTGGTACATAGCCGATCATTAGAGATAGGTTGATCATATTTAAGATCGAAGCATTAATTAATGGCCGGACTTCTTCGAGCAGTTTTGTAGGAATGGGGTCTAAAAGACACGTTGATGGTTTGGAGGAAGTAATTATTGAAGTTAACTCAGAAAGATCAATTGGAGGAAAAGAGTCTAACTTAACATCAATGGTACTAAGAGTAGCTGTAGATAATATTACATCTGTGGGATGATTACTGGTAATTTTTTCTCTAATGATTAAAATGTTATTTGTGAAGAAGTTCATGAAGTCCTTACTAGTTAACATTAAAGGGATGGTTGGCTCAACAGAGCTCTGACTTTTTGTCAGCCTGGCTACAGAGCTGAAGAGAAACCTGGGGTTGTTCTTATTTTCTTCAATCAGTGATGAATAGTAAGATGTTTACTCATGATGGCTCGTGCAATGTGAATTTCTACCTGAAGCCCCGTGGAGCTGATTTCCATTTGACTTCTTCAGCTCTTTTTTAATCTCTTTGTGAAATGATCACTATTGTGCTTCCTACAACGTAATCGGCCTGTGGTGCCAACTGACACAACAGTGTGTGTAAAATCCACAGAGGAGAGTTCATGAGTGGGCTGACCGAGAAAAATATTCACGACTCTGAGCGTGCTTGCAAACGGACGGCAAACAAACCGGACATTTTGCCTGATGTCACAGGATAAGTTACAGTAATTAGAGACATCATTGGAGAGTTCACAGTCGAGTGAAAAAAGGATTTATGCATTTTTTAAATAAAACACGACACATTAAACTATGTCGTTATTTATTTAACAAAAGTGAAAGAAGCAGCGTGTAAAGCACAGCCGTATACTTCCAGTTCTGAGGTTGTATTTTTCAAATCAGCTAAGAAGAGACTAATTTTCTTGTCCTGTCGGGGTCACCGTGAAACATGAAACACTGCTTACTCGCTTCTGTTTTGTTCCTAAAGTACTGTTGTCACTTTTGCCCGCCAAGTTACTATTTGACCCAACGATTACACGAACAACAACAAAGATTTCCCTGTAAATGTTTGTACTTTCACTTTTCAAACAGGTTTATTTTTGAAACGTTACAGCATAGTCACTAGGTACAAATAAACCAAAAACACTGACTTTCTAAACTGGACATAGGATAACAGACATAACCACGAAGGTTGTGTTTCTGTAATAAAGTCATTTTACCGCTCAGCAGACGTCTGAAAATGGGAGTAAGCCCTGCACTGCTGAAGGTTACAATAGACTGCTGCACACCGAGCTACGTGCAATGATCAATAAATAACAGAAGTGAGAGGAGCAGCAGCAGTAAGGGAGTAGAGCCGCCCGTTCGGGGGATCCCATCCCAAATTTGACGATGACGTAACATTTCATATTAGCGAAAAGCTGCATCCACCCAAACACCTGTACAGGTTCTGGTCGTCCGGTGGCAGATAAATGATGAGATTTAGAGATTCTCCTTCTGAGAACGGCGTATCGATTCGTAACAGTATCTCACAGCCTTGATCGAGAAGCCTGAGTGCTGGCCTTCATTTGATGCGAGCCGTCAGCCATTTTGGCTTCGCTTGCCAATGCCAAAGACCTTAATCGCATAATTTCAATTTAAGCAGCTGTGCATATGCATGCTCTTTCATACTTACAAAGACACGGCGGTAGAGACAGCACAGAGAGAACATTAAATCAGCACAGCGTCTTTCTTCCAATTCATTCAATTAGACGAAGCAGCCAAATGTAAGAAAATTAGGACCCGGGGAGGATTCGTGGAATTAGCCGTCTAAATAAGATTCATTTTACGAAGCTGGCACTTATGGGAACCTGTAAGCTTATGCCTTTAGTGCCTTTGCACATAAAATCTGTGGAAAAGGGAGGATAAAGTGGCAGCGGTCCAAGACTACTAACTATACAGGGGAGATATATTTAAAGTATGCACAGTGCATGTCACACGAGGACGCCGTAAATTACTTTGAGCTGATGACAATGTAATGCTTTCATTAAACAGAGAAGCCCTGAAA